TTGGGCCATCGCTTCGAGGTTGGAGGCCATCGCTATTAGGTTGGAGGCCATCGCTTCTAGGTTGGAGGCCATCGCTTCTAGGTTGGGCCATCGCTTCGAGGTTTGAGGCCATCGCTATTAGGTTGGAGGCCATGGCTATTAGGTTGGAGGCCTTCGCTATTAGGTTGGAGGCCATCGCTAATAGGTTGGAGGCCATCGCTGCTAGGTTGTAGGCCATCGCTTCTAGGTTGGAGGCCATCGCTATTGGGTTGGAGGCCATCGCTATTCGGTTGGAGGCCATCGCCAATAGGTTGGAGGCCATCGCTATTAGGTTGGAGGCCATCGCTTCTAGGTTGGAGGCGATCGCTTGTAGGTTGGGCCATCGCTTCTAGGTTGTAGGCCATCGCTTCTAGGTTGTAGGCCATCGCTTCTAGGTTGGAGGCCATCGCTATTGGGTAGGAGGCCTTCGCTATTAGGTTGGAGGCCATCGCTATTGGGTAGGAGGCCATCGCTATTAGGTTGGAGGCCATATTAGGTTGGAGGCCATCGCTTCTAGGTTGTAGGCCATCGCTATTAGGTTGGAGGCCACGCTATTATCGCTTCTAGGTTGGGAGGCCATCGCTTCTAGGTTGTAGGCCCTCGCTAATAGGTTGTAGGCCATCGCTATTGGGTAGGAGGCCATCGCTATTAGGTTGGAGGCCATCGCTATTGGGTAGGACGCCATCGCTATCAGGTTGGAGGCCATCGCTTCTAGGTTGGAGACCCTCGCTAGAACAAGAAGCTACTAGGAACCGGTCCGACCAAACGCCGAGGCACAAAGATCGATGGCGCGGCGCCGGCGAAGTTCACGGCGGGTGCCAAGAAGGCCACACGCTGCTGCGAGATCCTAGAGATCGGAGCGAGACGTGGATGGCAGGTGGATGGCACCGGCCACAGGGATGGGCGTCTGAAAGAGAATGAGAGATCAGTTGATCGATGTGATGAAATGGTTGCGTGCTAAGATTCTCTGTGGGGTATGGACTTTTTGACCTCTGACTTATGGGGTCTATCATTCTGCTTCACGTCATTCGAGGGCTTGGTGACTTCATGGTGAAGACTTGCAGTTCGACGCCATCATCGCGCCTCAAGGTCACGACTTTAGTGGCCGGGATATCGTACCTGGGGGCGTTTGGCCCACGGAGGCAGCTTGGAAAAGCAGTGCCAGGACGATGAGTTCGGAAGGAGGGCGGCCCAGCCATCGAGCAAGGGGGAGGAAGTCAGATCAGTTCGACCACCTGGAAGGAGACTGGGAATTCTGCAGAATGCTTTACAACTCCTTGATGCGAACGGGAGTCCGAGTTGGATCCTGTCTCCCATCTTCTCCCATCTTCCTTTCGTGTCCGAGGGCACTGGATGAGGTCTGATTCGCCCACGAGGCTCAGCGAGTCCTTGGGAAGGGAGCCCCAATCCCAGCTGGGTCCGACCTGGAAAATAGAAACGGTTTCGCACCACGAAGCGCCCAAGAAAGATTGCATCAGATTCTTCAACCGGTTTGCCAACCATCAGTGCATGAGAATCCCACCTTATTCTGTGCATTTTCAGGTTGAATGGCAGGAACGGGCCCAACCCAGTTTGCATCTAGACAACATCAGAGTATTGTATCGAGGGCATATGCATGAAAAATTATTAAATTAATGACTTCAGGTGCATACACTTCCAGAGATGCAGCTGAACTATACTAAGAATCCTCTTTCTTTGTCAACCAGCATTGGAGACATGGGTGCTTACAAACATGGATTTACCCCAAGTTTCTACCCAAACACGACCGGTGATTACGCAGGTATCGGCCCAGTGAGGTGGTGGATAACCCTCTGAGTGTGGAGCCGTTGGCACGAAGACATCTTGTGGTACCTCCACTGGGCCGGAAAGAGGCACCACAGCGCCACAATTCTTGGGAACATGTGTTTGACAGAAACTCCAGGCTTTTTCAAGACCTGAACTCCAGGCCGACTCCTTCGGCGATTTTCCCTCCACTTTAGAGGACCACTTCAGGATGCGAAGACAGGTGGTTTCCAACTCAAGCGGACCAAGAAGGACACCAAGGAGGACACCAAGAACACCAAGGAGGACACCTGGCACCATTCTGGTTTTGATCACCACTACTCAGCAATATCCATGACTATTTATGTAAGCACCACCATAATATGGTTCTTGTGGCACCGGGCTGTGCAAGGATCACAACAAATAAGCGGGGACCTAGTAGCTCGGACCAACACTAGTAATGTGGAGAAGTAGGTGGAGTGCCTGGCGTTACATTTGGTCATCGTTCGCTTATCGTTTGGGTTATCGTTTGGGAAGTTGTCTGGGATTATCATTGATGAAAAGTTGTGCCCATCGCTCAAATAAACATGCAAATGCAATAACATCTGGTAACCACAAACATCTTTGTACCCACTACATCTCAACAAGATTATCGTTTTTGGCGGGGACCATATCGTTTTCCACAGAAACAATTCCCTCAACATAGGTTTAGGGTCATGCCGTGACTAAGTAAGTCAACCAATAATTTTGTCCGTCGCTCATATCCATGTAACCTCTGCCAGTCTCTTTTTCAGTGTGTTTTCCTGGACAGCAGTTCACCATCGTTCACCCGTTTACCCGTTCGGAGATTTCGCTCTCCTGGTTTCTTTGCTGAAGTTTGCGTCCCGAGGGCAGCGAACAGATTCCACCCTTGCAACTCGTACATGTCACGATTCCTTCCAACTAGCAAGCGTGGAATACGGTGGAATCGCACATCCATCCTGATGAGTGACTCCGAGTGCTTGGAGTGACTTGGCGGACAAGCGGCTGATCAAGAGGAACGGAATGCTCTTGGCCCTCAAACCAAAGCGCCCACTGAACATGGTATTTGCCGCAAGTCAATGCAAACTTGGGTTCGTAGGCCATCGTAGGACCTCTTTAAAGCCAACCGAGCAAACAGTTCGTTGCGTTTGACCATCTATCTGACCACCATGCTAACCTGATACGACCCGGAGGTGCCACTGACTCTCAAACGGTCCACCCTCGGATCGCAGGCGGTGCCTGTGGTGGCGCCTTGGTGTCCAAGTACCTGCGTGTTCTGCTGGATTGTTTTTGTAAAAGACTACTATAGAAGCCATCGCTACTAGGTTGGAGGCCATCGCTTTTAGGGTGGGGGCATGTGGAGGCCATCGCTGCCATGTTGGAGGCAATCGCAATTTTATGGTGGAGGCCATCGCTCTTAGATTCCTTTTGCTATTAGGTTGGAGGCCATCGCTAGAGGCCATCGCTTTTAGGGTGGAGGCCATCGCTAATAGAAACAATCAACATAGAAAAGGAAGAAAGGTCTCATAATTTGCTTTATACCGGGCACTTGGGACCTTGGTCACCTAAGGCGTTTTCTTGTGCCGAGCTCCTCTCTGGTGATCTGCAGGTTGCTTCTTACAACTTGCGAGTATGGAACAAATCTGAGGCTGTTGAGCTTGAGTTGAGGATGATTTCTTGTGTTGACAACTACCTGTCTTCTCTCCACTTGCCAGTTTTGATGAAGCTCGACGGCAGTTTCATCCGATGTTTTTGGTCTGAAAGCGGATCCCACAAAATTGACTTCGTGACTTGATTGCAAGAACATGAACATCGATGGTATCAGCCCACAGTTCGCATGTCCACACTGGCTGAGTGGATGAAGCTACTCGGCAAGTATGGGTTCCCGGTTCCCAACCCAGCCCAGTTCAGAGCCCGAGTCATCCCGATTGAAACACAACAACATCGCCTCAGCGAAGATCCAAAGCACCAACCACCCACTTTCAAAACTCAGTATGTCATGGTTTGTGATGTTGATACTCTGAAACCATTCTATTCATATATATATATACAGTATACATGATAGTATGCATCTTGAAGATGCTGAGACTCCCCGTCCCCCACCCTTTCGGCCCCGGGCCGGACCCCAAGCAGCGAAGCCGCCCGGGGATGTCAGCGGTGACGTTCACGTGGGCCAAAAGGCTGTTGGACCTCTGCGACGTTCCGCCGGGAGGCGTGACGGGCGACGTTTGTTGTCGAGAATTTCTGGGTGAACACCAACAGAACTATTATAGTATCAATCTTAAACCAAAAAATAACTTTACTTCGAGTGATCCCCACCATGACATTTCAATCATTTGTCTTGATGCCATAGTGAGGAGCATGTTGCCATAGTCGTCAGTATTGTAGTTCTCGATGTTGCTTGTGGGTCCTCGGGTTGTGTGCTGTGGTTGTGTGCTGTGTTGTGGTTGTGGTTGTGTTTGTGGTTGTGGTTGTGTTTGTGGATATGTTTGTGGTTGTGTGTTTGTGGTTGTGTGTTTGTGGTTGTGTGTTTGTGTGTTTGTGGTT